AAAGGAAGGAAGGAAGGAAGGGAGGGAGGGAGGGAAGGAGGAAGGAAGGAAGAAAGGGAAAAGAGAACTAAAACAAAAAATAAATTAAAAAGACCCCACAATCTTTGCAAAAATTGTTGTAATATTAGGAAACTTAATAGGGCTTCCTAAACGTATCCAGTAATTTCTGGGCTCCAACATTCTTCCTTCATTGAGTTCTGACCTGAATTCAACTGTATCTGCTTTTACTCTAAGCAGAACTTACTCTAACCAGAATTCAATGCAGGCAGAGAATGAACTAGCTTTCCAGTTCCTTCTGTGTCAGCTCTGCACACTTCACCATCCAGAGCACATTTCATCAGCAGGAAGTGTTGCTACCACCAGATGGCAGTGTCTCCCTCTTCTTACATATAATTCCAATCTGTGTGTGTGTGTGTGTGTGTGTGTGTGTGTGTGTGTGTGTGTGTGTATGCGCACACGCGCTCAAAGAGTCGCCCTTGCTAATTTGCCTGTTGCATGTGTGTTCAAAGCAAAGGATTGAGTTCACTGCTGACTGGCTGGGTAAAAAAATCGAGACTCTGGGTGGGGGGCGGAAGATTACATAAATGTTCAGTAATGGGAGCTAACTCTTCTAACTGAGGGACCTGGCTCCCTTTCAGGTCCCAGAGCTGTGCCTCCTGTGATCCCAATAAGAAGAAGGATGCAGAAACTGCTAGGAGTGGGTTTAGTGACTCTGTGGCTTCAGTTGGCCAGTGAGTGGGGTCTGGTGGAGATGGGAATAGGGAGACCCGAATTTAGAGCCCACTTGCCAGAGAGGTGAGTCAGCCTGTGATTTTGCAAATGAGATTTGAAAATGCTGATAGTGACTTCTGGTCTCTGGCCTCATTTCTGCCTAGGAGTGAACAGCCAACAAGGAGAAGCTAGTCCTCAGGTCATGAGCATCCAGGAGGGAGAAAATGCCACCATGAACTGCAGTTACAAAACTGATATAACCAACCTGCTGTGGTATAGACAGGATTCAGGTAAAGGTCCTGCTTTGGTGATTTTAA